GAGATCTTATGACCAAAAACATTTCATGTATTTAGTATTACATAGTGTTAGTGCTTGGATCATGATTTGTAGGTACCTTTCATATCATATGAGCATTTTTATACTGCTGGTCTATCTGGAAACAATTCACATGATATACCAGGAGAGCATGCAAGGCAAAATACACCAAGGAACTGCAGGCTGTGAAAAAACAGATGTGAAATTGTTGTGACAAAAATACAAGTACCTTAGAAAGTTATTTGTTAAATTTCCATGTACTGAAAACATGGTTTACAGGAACTTTACAACCTTTGTTTTGCTGACAGAGCATATGACAGAGAAGCTCAGAAAAACACATAAGCCTGTCATTCAGAAGTGCGGAAGGCATGTTTAATTTCACAGCTGACGTGTTGAAGTGTGGAGTGAGTGAGAGGGTTCTCATCATTGATAGGTTTTGCAGGATACGAGCAGGTTCTGCGTACAGAGACAGGTGCTGAAACATTACAGCGTATTTCTACTCACCCAGAGGCGATAAGGGCACGCGACTGAGCCATGGCGATACGCTGCAGCGCGGGACGGCTCAGCCCTGCGAGGCTAGACCGAGGTGGCAGGGGCGCCGCGCAGGCAGCGGCCGCGGCAGCACCGGATGAAGACACCGGACCCAGGACACGGGCAGAAGGTGACGGGGTGCAGGTGGATGTAGCTGTGGAGATGAGAGGTGGCCCTGAGGCAGGTGCTGTGGGGGCAGAACAGGAAATGGAGAGAGAGGAGACAGAGGTGGAAGGGTGAGGGGTGGAGGTGGTGGAAGATGATAGCGTAGTGGAGGGTGGGGGGGGCGGTGGCAGCGGTGGTGGGAGAGGAGGAGGTGGGGGCCTTGTGGAGGAGATGGAGAGACCAGCTGTGGCTGACCCAAGAAGGGAAAGAGAATGGGTGAAGCCTCCTCCGTAGCCAAGGCTCGTAGTGCCAACGCTGCTAGCACCAACCATGCTCATACCTCCTGCACCTCCCATACCACCTATGTTGAATCCACCTGTCGCCCCAACCATGGATGTCCTGTGGGGGGAAAGCGACCTCGACAGGGTTGGAGGCCGAGGGAGGGTTAGTGAATAAGAGCCTCCTGGGATGGGCAGGCTGCTTAGTTTGGGACTTGGTGGTTTAGTCTGTGGTGGTCTTCGACCGAGAGTGTGAGCGGTCGACATAGTGCCTGCTTTGACACTTAGCACCAGCATACACTGCTGACAGGCGCATGGCTGTCCCAAGGAAGTGATGGCTGAAGCCGGGAGCGCCCCGCTGGGGTACGCACTCCCGTTTCCAGTCCCACTGCTACTCATCCGGATCCCCATGCCCACTCCAGATACATCAACACCTAGAAGTCCTCCGTGTCCAGGCATGGACGTTGGCCCCCAGGCATGGTGAGACTTGGGTAGTGGCCCAGATACCAGCGGGTAAGCCAGATCAGAACGGCGCTGGATGCGTCTGCAGCGCTGCGTTTGCCCATTGATTTGGGTCATACTTTCGAAGTCAATGAGGTAGCAGAAACCCAGCGGCGCCAGGTCCAGCCAGGGCTGCTGACGGTCGCGCGCTGCCTGGATTGCAATGCCCACCTCAGTGTCGTATGCCGTCCAGCTGCCAGCGTCGTTCTCCCACTCCCACAACCAGCCCTGGCCTGGCGCTGATGTGGGGTCGTAGAAGCTGCGTCGCACCGGTCTTAGGGTACCTGAAGAACACGCCACAATGGACTGAATTACTGAACAGTAAACTATATTAGTATACATTAAAAAGAAGACTTGTACTGTGAATATGAAGTTCCGTAGCGACTTTTCACTGAGTCTGCTCAACATGACGCCAGGCGATGAAAAGTAGACGCGAGACGAGGAATGCGAATGCACTACAATTTGCTGCGGACAAGTAGATTACAACCATAACAAATTCTACATGTCTGTGTTTGCTTGCTAAGAATTTGGGCAAACAGGTTGCCCCTGGTAACAGCACATGGTGTTCTGAATTCCGATTGGCTGGCAGCCTTGATCCGACCCAAAGCTGACTGTGTTTGCTTTCCCTGGGTGTCTAGAGAAACTCCACAGAGTCTCTATACTGTAAAAGCTCCCCACATCAAATCCCGGCTTCCGACAGCACTGCATACGTTGCGTTAAGAAGGATGCTTCACACTAGAGCCTCTTCACTGGCAACAATAACAGGGAAAAACAGAAAACCGTACAAATTCTGTGAAATAACACTTTTCACAACTGTGACTCTGGAGCTTTAACATTGCACACTACTAATGAACACACAAAACATAAAGCACTGTTGAGCACACGAGGCCTGCCACGCACAGACGCATAATAATATGGGCTCATTCACGAATTCTGCTCCTGTCAACCCCATTTTTTCAGTGTCCTCGCACTCCTGAAATTCCTCTCCTCCTCTCTTGCTGCTACTGCTTTTCTTCTTCAGACTGGGGAACCCTGCCTGTCTCCCTCATTTCAGCCTGGTTTCGGGTTTAGAAAATAAACCACACAAAAGCTTTTATCAGCCAGTGCTGAGAGAAGGCCAATGTTGGGGTGTCTGCCAAAAAGAGGGGGGGAAAAAAAAAGGGGGGGGGGGGTCTGACAATCCCCTTCTTTGTCTTATACCACCCTGCCTGGCCTGCTCGGTGAAGTTGTGGCAGATCACCTCTTGTGTCTCCTGGAAGACAATACAGAGGGCCGGGTTTTGCAATGAAAACCTTCCCATGCATGGGCAAGCACACACTTCCTGCCAGGAATGACTCACTTCAGAGCTGACACCTTTCAAAATCCAACCTCTTCAATGCTGGAGTGCACAAATCTAGGGGCGGTGTGGAAGGGGGGGGGGGGGTGTCACTGAACTGGTGAAGCTGGCAATTCAATGATTTGAGATTTTAAGATGAAAATAATTCAATTTATGTCACTGACTGAGATCTTTAGACCACAGCAGCTCACTAAACCCATCAACTTCTGCAGGATGATTATCAATAACAACCCGCCAGCATAAAAAAAAGAAAAAAAGGCCTCCACCTCAGACTCAGCTTCAGCATTACACCCCCCCACCACCGCTCGTTCTCTCTCTCTCTAACACACCCTCCCTCTCGCCCCTCTCCCCCCTCCCGTTTCTCACCTGTGTCCTGTCGGAACTGGTGCATGGAATGCAAATCGATGATGTAGGGCGAGAGGCGAGAGTCCACCTGACCGAGGACGACACTACCACAGCGCGGGTCGCTCCGGATGACTGCCTCGATGTGATGACAGACAGCCGGGCTGTAGGGCCGCCAGCGTCCGTGCTCGTTCAGCCATTCCCATACCACTACGGCGGATGCTAGTAACATCCTACTCCTGGAAAGACAGAAAAACAAAAACAAAAACAAAAAATGACAATACCGAGGCACAAATGAAGGAGAAGCCGGGGCGACGGGTGTTTAAAGGTACCCCGCTGATGCCTCTCCGCCGCGCAGCCCTGCGCACAGCGGCGCTGCATCCATCTTGGACAGTTTGCAACCCAGATGTGTTTTCAGTGCTATCTGTGCTTCTAAGTGCATCTTTCGGGATGACAGCACATGCAATCCGTACCTTCCATGTTTGTAGTTTCGGAGGTGCAGCAATTATTAGGTCCTTTTATTGCACGGGGGAGATACAGAGCGTTTCGTGGAAGCAAAGACAGAACAGAAGCCTTCCAGGATGGTTGCATTTTACTCCCTATGCAGATGAGTGACGTCTACCGAAATCAATTCTCAGCCACAGTCAAGTTTGGGTGAGAGGAGAAAATGCAACTTGGATGCTCACGGTGGTGCGGCGGTGGTGAATTAGGTTACTGTGATGAACCGATTTTCATAGTAAATTGTAAGATTTAAAAATAATAATAATAATAATCAGACCAAAAACGGAGGATTCTTTTTTTAAAAATAGATTTTTAATATTTACCCCGTCAAAATCGTCCCCTCCTGTAAAAAAAAACAAAACAAAAAAAACACTGCTTTGTAGAGTAGTTTGTTTAGTATTGATCCACCAATATCACTGAAAGAATGATGTAAAATCCCGTGTTACATAATCGCTCTAATAACTTTTCGGTACACTAAGTTTGGAGTTAACTTTACTTATTGGCTCATCCAAAATGCATCCATCGACCAGCTCTCACTTAACTATCAGGTACTGGACCGGCGAAAATAAATTTTTGACACTCGCGTGTATGAACACCCCCACGCCTCCAAGGCATCCACCGTCCAATCACATTCGAGCACGGGCTGCTTTGGGCCAATCGCAAACGTACCTCACCTCGCGCACACATTGAGGTGACGGTGTTTGGGATATTGTTATGCCGTATTGCTTTAAATTTTTTACTTCTTCTGTGACTTCTATTACAATATTGCACTTTATAGCATTTACAACTTATACGGAAATAAAAGTTGAAAAAATCTTTGGAGATGCCGGGGATTGAACCCGGGACCTCATACATGCGAAGCATGCGCTCTACCACTGAGCTACATCCCCATTGGCTGAATGATCAACAAGGAGAGAATTTATCTGTAACTCATGGCTGTACCGCTATTGTGGCTGATTTTGGTATGATTACGACATTAATATTGAAAGTTATATTGTTATTTATATGTATTTGCTCCGGTTACAGGAAACTTGTGGCTTACCGCTAGCATGTTTTTTCTCTAAAACCCTAAAAACATAAAACACGGAAGAATTTTAGCTTCGTCATGCTATGATCACGCTATGCACACATGCTTCCGCTGATAGCATTACTACATGTTTTATATATTTTTAAAGTATACAATTCATTCGTATTTTCAGTATGTGGTTTATTAAATTTTCAACCATTTACACACCATATGAAATGTATGTTGACTTAAAGTTTGATCGGTTACATTCACTTGTTTTTCATTAAAACAAATAAAGCATTATTTTGTTCTCACTATATTTAATTACTATTCTTTTTTTATTTCTACAAACGGCATAAAGAACAACAAAAACAGAGCAGAAAACACTAAAAAAAAGTTTCCAGTTTTCAATTTCTTATGTAGATTAAAATAAACATTTAAAGCAAAAAAGTATAAACAAGTATTGTTTTTTTACACTTTACAGTTACAATCTAGAGCACCCCTGTATGTTTATATAACTGCTTTATTCATCAAAACAATTTGACCAGAGGAAAGCAAGGTCGGTGAGGTCATGAGAGTTTAAAGCTCTTTGGGTTTAATGGGTGGGTGCATGTATCTTTTATTTAATTTAATTTTTTTAGACTAATAGAAGGAATTTGCAGTGGGGAGACATTTAGGGGATGAAGCTGGTGTTTGTGAAATCCTGATTTTGGCAGTTTCCTCAGTCTTATTCATTATTTGTGATTCTCACAACGCCGTCACGTCACCTTTACCCTCACCACCTTCTTCAGACCAGATCGCACTTCCAGAGAACTGCTTTAGATCTATCAGCAATCCCGGCCCTCCACTTGCCTCAGCTTTACTCTGCTCTTCTCCCACTTTCTCCTCCTTTTCTTCACTTTTATCCTCCGTCTCTCCCTCTGGCTCAGACTCATCGTTAAGTTTGGTTTGCTCTCCTGCCTCTGAACTCCCAATACTTGAGTTATCATTTGAAGTATTACTTTCTTTCTCCTTAGCATTACCAGACCGGTCCGTGTCGTTGTCCTCCTCTTCTTCATCTCCCTCTGTGTCACTCTCCTGACTACCACCACTATCCACCTGTTCTTCTTCATCTTGGACTTCCTGCATTTCCTCCCCTTCCTCTTCTTCATCACTTCCAGGCCACAGCTGGACCCCAAGACGTGCCCCCACAGCTAACGCTGCACTTCTCGCCCGGTCCCTGAGACCTCCTTCCTTGTAGACGATGCGTCGGACTGTATATTCCCCTTTAGCCTCCCTGTTCAGCTTCTTGTACAGTACAAAGAGCACAACAAGGAGGACTAATAGGAGGAATAAAAGGCCCAGCACCAATGGAGTGCTGTTTTGTTCAGAATTCCCCATCCCTGAAGGAAGGACAAAGAAGAGGTTTAGAATAAGTATGAACACATGGGGAATCAATTCATTTTCATAAATGTTTTGGTGATGTAGGATTTCAGAAAACACATGTTTACATTCTTGCAGAGTTAGATTAGAAAAATGACATTTTACATCATTCTCGTTTCATTTAATTGAAGCCTGAAATCTGATAGACTAGCGAAATACGAAGGGTGCAGTATAAGGAAATCAGTCACAGGTGGACACAAGGGCCAAAGCTGATGTATAAATTCCTAAATGATTTTTTTTCTTCATAAAATCCATTAGGCATTTGAAGATGGCTGTCGACATAGCCAAGTAAAATCTCTTTCAAGCAAGCCTTGCCTCTTTGAATGATCTTAATGTGAAATCATATGCATACAATCAATAACTTGCCAACAGGGTGTGAGGTGTAATATATATTTATCTGGATTTGTATGTGAACATTAAAAATGTGTCTGTGGGTGGAGCTTGCAGTGGAAAGACTGCTCGGTCTAGCAGGAGCAAACCATGGTCAAGTACTAACTAACCTTGTCCTTTTCATAGTCTATCTTGATTCGTTAAATGAGAGACCCATTGTAACGGATAGCTGCGCATTAATCACCTCACAGTAAGCAGGTTCTGGGTCTGAATGTGTGCAGAAGTGCTTGTGAGGTTAGCTGGTGGTTTAAAGTTGGATGAACATGTGTCATTGCAATTATTTCATTTTACAAAGGCGCTCCGAAGACATTTTTTAACTCATAAATTTGACTCTCTTATAGTCAAAAAGAGTCAAACCTGTGAACTTTATCCACCAGTTGAAATTCTGCAGTGAAATGGCTGAAAATAATGATCAAATTGCATAAATTAGAAATTTTCAAAATTCTAGACAAAGACGCAATTCTTGGCACTTATATCCACTTTTGAAAGTTTGTTTCAGTTGTCTGCTGCATTACAGTTTGCTTCGGTCCCAAGAACACCAGCTAAGAATAATTCTGACACAACAAACTAAATCTGACAGTTGCGTTGTGTGCAAATTAAAAAAAGAAATAGCAAGCAAGATTTACAGCTGCTTTAGGCCTTTTTTCAAACACAACAGCTGTGTGTTTTTTTCTAACACTGCTTAGCAAAGCTAACTGTCTGCATCATCTTCATATTTCTACATATGACAGTAATATGATTTTTTTTTTATCAAACTCTTGCCAAGAAAGTCAATAACACTGTTTATCACACACACAAAAAACAAGCGCTTCTAAAAATAGGTAAATTTTTAGCTTTAAGAGCAGCTTTCACTGTTTATTTTAGCAAGGGTGTGCCTTATCACTTAAAACAATGCAGTGTGTGCACTTGAGGGAACACAAAAGCAGAAAGCTGTTTCTCTCTTTGCACTTTTAAACCATGGAAACCAAGAGTCTGTCACAGACTTTGTGTAGGGCTTCTGAACTCATTGTCAGTCCACTTTTAACTTTTTGCAACGACACAAATCTGACTTTGCTACAATTAAATGTAATTAAAAATGTGCATTACCTCCTTAGGAAGAAGTTACAGTTGAATTAAAGAAAAAAAATTCCCAGATGGCTTGGAGTCTCAGTTACAGGCTGAACTTTACAGTCACAAACTCCTGGTGCTTTCAAAGCAGCTGTGAACTTGTCATCAGGAGATCCATTGGTGAATTTTATACTCAGGATCTAAACATGAAATTAAAAAAGAGGTAAATTAACAAAGTCAAGGCATGCTTATGGCTAGAAATTCACATCACTTAACGCTGCACAAAAACAGCAATGGTACTACTGAAATGCACTATCATCTGAACAGCAAGTGCACAATATTGCACGATTTACGATGAAGCATCACTAATTGTAGCTTTCTAAATCGAGAGGAAACATTGATGCATTGCTCAGCGTTAACCTGAAACTTTTTCTCCATATACAAATGTGTTCTTTGCACATTAAAATTTAGAATTTTTTTTAAAATCAATCTTTACCAAAACATAACACAGGCTCACGGGTTATAGTTATATACATACTCACACTGGAGATGTAACAGGAAGTCTGCCCTTGTTAAACTCTAAACTGTGTTCACTAGGATGACAGGAAGCTTTGCAGACCGCTCAGAGCGTTTGCTGGTTTCCTGTCAAAATGATAATTGAACAGCATCAGTCAGCCCGCCATGGGTGGAAACTTTTTCACTCGGCGTTCATCAGACCGAGAGCCGACATCAACTATTGCAAAAGTAATCAAGAACTAAAGCAGGTCCACTTACAAAGAGCAATTAAAGCCAAAATGGATCAGAGTAACTGATCTAAGTTGCAAATTATTGCCTGAGGTGCTGTAATTGTACCTCACATGTAGCTTAGCATAGATTAAATAAATGCTTCAAGTACTTCAAAATCCAAAGTATTAAAAATCACAACAGGGGAAAAGCAGACAAAGCAGTTTCAGTGTAAAAGATGTGCGCAGCAAAAATGAGCTTAACCCCCGAAAAACTTACCAAAGTTGTGAGTGAGAGATACTGTTTGTGTTGCTGGAGAGCGAAGAATGGCAAAGAGGCTGACTTGTGTCATTTAGGGTGTGTTAGAACGAGTGCGACAGCGTTCGCGCTGAGAAGAAAAAGAAGAAGAAGAAAAAAAGTGAGAGAGAGAGAGACAGCAGGGGGGTGATGCATGACATGTGATGCAGAAAGTGCTCGCTGAAGCCCTCTGAGGAGGCGGTGAGAGCAGAGATTAAAGAGAGACTTTGATGGGGTGTGGTGATGAGCACAGATAAGGAAACGCACAATTATTTATGGAAAGAGGAAGGTGCAAATTTGAATTTGTTCCTTGCGAGGTTGACAAGTCACTTGAAAACTGCAGGTGTGAAGTCTGTGAAGTACACATCCAGAACATGCATGTCTCATTACTTGTTACACAGGCCTGTGAATGAACTTATATATATAGTTGTAATTTTTTTTTCAGCTGGAAGTTTGTTATTTTGGCTTGGTTTTGCTTTATTGGACATATAAACCAACAAAACAAGTCTGGTGGTGTACATGAACCCGAAGGCAGCCTAAGAGCTAAACCCTGATCTAGATTTCTTTTTAGTCAACCCCCAAACAAAGGCCTTAATTACATATTATAACAGTGATATCTGAACCTATCAAAAGAGTGCATCATGTTCAAAAAGCTGTGCTGAATATGAAACCACTTTGCCACATCCTGTTTTTGCTCCACCGGCCTGCCTTCCACAGCCCCTACACCCAACAAAGACAGCTAAACCAAATCTGTACAGTAATACTGCACTGTACTACACTCTAAAGCCAGCCTGCATCTGTTTCCTATTTCACTTTTCTATTATCTTTCTATCTTATTATGCACCTGATATTTTTTGGCCGTTAACCCTGAAAATCCATATCTATACAACTCTAATCATAACTGTTGTTTTGGGTTTTTTGAGGGGGGGTTAAGCACTCTTGTGTTGTTTACATAATTCAGTGATCTACTGTTCTAACCTTGGGTTAACACTTTGAGCTGTTGCGTTTCAAAATGGTACTAAAGCTCCACATTGTTACTTTCACGCTGACATGAGAGGAGGAACTGGGTGGCCTCTTTTTAGGCTTTTGCATGGTTGATTGGGTTTGATTTTCATTCTAAAAAGATCACAGGTTGTTCTGTTATTCTTTTTATTGTTGTTACAAGCCTTTCTAACAAGCCTCCAGCTGCTTTCTAGTACAAATCAGATAAAATGGCCTTTGCTGGATGTGAGGAATTTTAATTGATCTGAGGAGCAGTCAAGTACAACACGTTAAAGTGTTTTGTTTGTGTTTTGTGCATCTGCTTAAATGCACAAAGCAGCAGGTGATGGCACGGTTACCAAACCCAAATACCATAGTCTCTTGGCCCTTTATTAGGTACACATTGCTAATACTGGATTGGACCCCTTTTTTGCATTGAGAACTGCTTTAATTCTTCATGGCACATATTCATCAAGGTGCTGGAAACATTCCTCA